AAGCACTCGGCCCATCCTCTGCTGCTTTCCCAGGCCACTGCAGGGAGCAGCTGGGACTCGAACCAGCGCCCATGTGGGATGCCGGCACTGCAGGCAGCGGCTTTACCCGCTACGCCACCGCACCGGCGCCAGGTGAGCACGAATGCCCGGCCTGTGCGCCCGTTTCCCCTTCTTGCCCCCTCGGGGTGGGACGTGCTTGTGCACAGGGAGGAATCCGCACCCTTCACGGCCCTGTGCAGTGGCAGCGGCTGCGGGACCCAGAGCAGGCGAACAAGGAAGAAGTGGAAACTAAGTGGAAACTAAGTTTCATGAAAATCGGTGTTTCCTTGGCTCCCTGATAAACATCAGAGACCCGGAGCTCCTGCCTCCAGGACCCGCAGAGCCGTGATCTCAGACCAGCACGGCCTCCCGGGTGACCAGGAGCACCCAAGGGCGCAGGCACCGGCTGCAGCAGTTAACACGCTGCCGGGGCGCCCGCACCCCACACCGCAGTGCCTGGGGTCCACCCACCTGGGCCGAGCTCCGCTCAGGAGCAGAGGACGGAGCCGCTGGGAGCGAAGGGGACTCAGAGGGGACACTCAGTCCCGCGCTGAGCTCTGCCCACGACGTGCGCAGGGCGGCCACCAGGCTGCCAGCAGGGCTCGGGGCCCTGGACACCAGGGCAGCCCCGGTCCTCCGCGGTGGACTGGACCTCTGGTTGGGCTGGGCCAGTTGCTGCCTGCTGAGACCAGCAGCTACCCGGTCCCTGCGGCGCGCTCCCTGCGGTGTCTGGATCACAGCCGGAAATGACCAGACGCCCGAGGGAGGCAGGACACGCGGCCACCGCTTGACAGAAGGGGTCAGGACACTGTGGCCCCCGGATGGCCGTGTGCTTTCGAAAAGCATCGAGGGGTGTAGCGGGTAAGCTGGCATCCCACAGGGGCGCCAGTTCATCTCCCGGCTGCTCCACTTCCAGTCCAGCTCCCTGCTACGGCCTGGGAGAGCAGTGGAAGATGGCCCAAGTCCTTGAGCCCCTGCACCCGCGTGGGAGACCTGGAAGAAGCTCCTGGCTCCTGGCTTTGGATTGATGCAGCTCGGGCCATTGTGGTCATCGGGGAGTGAACCAGTGCATGGAAGACACCTCTCTCTCTCTCTCTCTCTCTCTCTCTCTCTCTCTCTCTCTGTGTGTGTGTGTGTGTGCGTGTGTCTACCTCTCTCTGCAACTCTTTCAAATAAATAAATCTTAAAAAAAAAAAAAAAAAGAAGGGTCAGCTGGGTGCCCGTCCCTGGCCAGCCTGCTGCCTGCTGCCCACCTCCAGGCCAGACCAGGGGCCAAAGGAGGGGCTGGCTTTGGGGCCTGTGTCTTGGTTCTTGGACAGAGGCCGGTGCCAGCTCACTTGGCTGAGACGAAAGAGGAAAAGGAATTTGCCAGGCTTTCAAAACCGTGCCGTCGGCACCGGACTTGTTAAGGGGCCTGGAAGACTTCTTAAGCCCCGGTGGCGTCTAGGGCAGGTCTGGGTTCGCAGCAGAACCTGTGGAGGAAGGTGGATTTGCAGACACATCCATCCCGGGGACCCCCTGCTGCCCGGCCACCCACAGGGCCGCCCAGGCTGCATGTGCCGGCTTCTGCAGGGGCCAGGGGTGGAGGGCTCAGGACGCCATCCTCCACTGCGCCCAGGGGCCGGGAGAGGGGTGCAGCAGGAAGAGGAGGGTCCACTCTGGGAGTCCGATACAGCAAGGGACACGCCCTCTTCCGGGGTGGGGGGACTCGCTCCCTCTCGATGGGGGGGGTTCCTCTCTGGGCATCGCTGACCATTAGAATGTCCTTTGTTCCACTTGGTAGGAATCTGTCGCCCTGTGACTCGCACTCATCGGAATTCAGTTTTTTTTTTTTTTTTAAAGATTCATTTACTTATTTGAAAAGCAGAGAGAGAGAAAGAGGGAGGGAGGGAGAGAGAGAATGCATCTGCTGGTTCACTCCCCAGTGGCCACACAGCCAGGGCTGGACCAGGCCAAATCCAGGAGCCAGGAGCTCCATCCTCGTCTCCCACGTGGGTGGCGGGGGCCTGAGCACTCGGGCCATCATCAGCTGCCACCCCAGGCACCTCAGGAAGGAGCTGGACTTGGAGTGGAGAAGCCAGGAATCGAACAGGCGCTCCGAGACGCCGGCACGGCGAGCAGGGGCTTCAGCCCTGGGAGACAGACAGCAACCTTGTGGCACGTGCTCTGTGCACGCATGAGTTGCCTGCATTTAGTCTGCAAGCAGCCTTAGAACACAGACACCCTTCACTGTGCCCTCTACAAGACGGGTGACAGTGCTCAGAGAGGCAGCCACGTGCCCAGCGTGGCACAGCTCAGGAAGTCCGAGTCCTGGCTCTGAACACCCACGGTGCCACGCTGGCTCCTGCCAGGGTAATCTTCAGTGACAGCTGTCACCACCCTGTCCCGCCTTCCTTTCTCCCATGTCAACGTTCTGGTTCTGTCTGTGTGGGATTGAGGAATGGGCACGTGGTCCATTTGGGTGCCAGGGACACAGGGCAGGCTGCTGGGTGACACTGGCAAAGCTTTTCTCACGCGAGAAAGAAAGTGTGAGGAGGTCCCCCCCGCTCCCACCCTCTTTCTGCCTCCAGTTGGGGACAGCGAGCGGCATGGCGCTGTCCTGTGACCAGGAAGACAGGACCAGAGCTGGCGGAGACGTGGGCCAGGCAGCCCGGACTCGCCGAGCTCCTGCCCTGGAGTCACGCCCACCCGCTGTCCTCAGGGTGGACAGCGTCCGACAGAGCGCACCAGGAACGCTGGGGGCCTGGGCTCAGCAGCACGAGGGTGGGGCCAGGGGGGTCCATTCCTAACAAGGGCCCCGTGGGATCGGGTTGCTGCAGGTCTGGGGGCCTGAGAACCCCCGCTTTAGAGCTGCCCACAGCCAGCACGGCCCAGCCCCCCTCCCCTCCTGGTCAGGCGCCAGCTGGGGTGGGGGGGCTGTGATGTAGCTCCACGCGGCGCTGTCCCAGGTACCAGGGCTGGGAGGAGGGAAGGCCGCGCTCCCTGTCTGTGGCCCCTTGGGGGCGCCCTGTGCTCAGCGGGTCCTTGGGGGAGCCACAGTATCCGGCCCAAAATTAACACAGGGCTGGCAGGTCCCCGCCCAATCATACCCCATCTCCACCTCCCTGGCTGCCGTGGCAACTTCAAGGCCGGCAGCCCCAGGGCAGGCGGGGGCGCGGGACGGTGGGGTCCTGGGGGGTGAGAAGCAGGCAGGGATGGCGCAGATGCTGAGGGCGGGAGGCAGGAGGGGAGCCCCCCCAAGCCCCGTCCCGCGGACGCAACACACGAAGCATCGGCCATTGTCACCCAACCCTGCAACCTTAGCACTTCTGTGTTATGTTTACTGCAGAGGAAAACCGTCCCACCACAGTGGGAAAGGCAAGGCAGCAGCCTCGTGGTGAGGCCGCGACAGTGGGCTGTGTGCCCCTGATCACCGGCTGAAGTCGCCGGCGTGGTGGGCCTTTCCCCACCAGCTAAGACCCCTGCGTCCTGCAGCTCAGGCTCTGGCTCCCGGCTGCAGCTTCTCAGTGTGGCCGCTGGGGGGCAGCAGTGAGGGCTCAGCATCTGGGTCCCTGCCACTCACAAGGGAGACCCAGACTCCCCAGCTCCAGAGCCGGCCTGGCCCGGTCCGGCCCGGCCCGGCCCAGCCCAGCCCGGCCCAGCCCAGCCCAGCCCAGCTCCGGCCTCTGGGCCAGTGAACCAGTGGATGAAAAAATTAAGAAAAAATTAAGTAAACTTAAAAAGCATTTTATCTTATTTGAAAGGGAGAGTTAGGGAGGGAGAGGGGGAGGGAGGTCTTCCATCCACTGGCTCACTCCCCAAAAGGCTGCATCAGCCGGGGCTGGGCCAGGCCAAAGCCAGGAGCCAGGAGCTCCATCCAGCTCTCCCACAAGGGTGCAGGGGCCCAAGCACTAGGACCAACATCCCCTCCCCCTCCCTGCTGCCTTCCCAGGCCACAGCAGGGAGCTGGATCAGAAGTGGAGCAGCCCGGACTTGAACCGGAGCCCACACGGGATGGTGGCACCGCAGGCAGTGGCCTAGCCACTGTGCCACAGCACTGGCCCCGGAGTAAGCCTTTTTAAGCTGATGGTACTGAGAGTGTAGAATAATCCAAGTACGGCGCTCACAGGCAGAGCCGTGTGGGAGGCCGACAGCCCCGGGGAGTGCGTGAGCCGGTAACTGGCGAGCTGAGCGGTTCTAACAGCCGGGTTGGGCCCCGTGTGCACTCGCTCCTGCCCGGCTCGCCGCGAGCTCCCTGCCCCACGGAGGCCCACCACCCTCCTCAGAAGCCCAGCCATGCGGCTGCCTCATCGCGCAACTGAAGCTCCAGAACCATGAGCCAGGCAAGTCTCCCTCCGTGGGCGGCTCATCTGGGCGATTTCACTGTAGTGGCAAAAAACCGACCAACACGGTGGGCCTGGGAGGAGGGAGCCCCTGCCCTGGAACAGGAGACCACGTGGCCATGGAGGAGGCGGGGCAGCCTGGGGCCGCGGCCTGGAGGAGGGAGCCTGTCACGGCCTGACTCCCGGCTCCGACCTGGATGCATTTGGACGTCACTGTGGAGGTGGCGATTACAGCTAAATGGGCTCTAAGGGTGGGCCTGAAGCCGCCACCACCTGTGCCCTTAAAAAGAGAGACCCCCCAGGGCTGCCCATGCCCAGAGGACACGCGACGGCCGCCTGCAGACCAGGGAGAGGCCTCCGAGGACGCCAACGCTGCTGGAGCCCAGACCTGGGACGTAGATCGCTGGGGTTTGTTATAGGAACCCGAGCAGGTTAGAACAGGGGGAGGAGGAACCTGACCCATCCGCGCGCAGTGTGACCTGGGGGCCAGCGGCACCTGCAGCGCCAGGGGCTCCTGAGACGCGCGGGGGCAGGCCCTGCCCCAGCAACCAGGAGCCGGACTCTGCCTGCACTGGTGCACCCCCCATGGCCGCTGTCCCGCCCCCGGCCCCTGCCGGACACAGAGAGCAGAGTCTGCAGTAGGTTTCAGAGGTTTTATTTCACAAACGGTTGGGACTTGTTCCTCATAGACATGTTACAGACACGGCAGAAACGCGCCCGGCTGTACCGCGCCGACAGCGACAGCGGGGGCCCCTGCTCACGCCGAGCGCACGCACACACGTACAACCAGCTCCGGCACACAGCAAGCGGGAAGACGGCATTTTTCATAGAGAAAAGGCAGGCGGACGGCGGGCTGAGCGAGCCCGGCCCAAGGGCCCGGCAGGTGCTCTCCGCCCACCCCCTGCGAGCTGCCCTTCGGCCTCGCGCCCCCACCTTGCTGTAAACGCAGGGCAGGGGGGGGTGGGGCTGAGGCCGCCGGGACCGCAGATGGAGGGGCGGCCTGCTGACAGGGGCTTCTCCTTTGTAGTTTTGTTTCTGTCTTCCGAAGAAAAATGGCTCCGACTGCGAAACGTTCGTGCCGACGGAAATGGCCAGGCCGGCTGTGGGCGAGGCCGCCCCTCCTGCCCCCGGGCCTGGGTGACAGCTCTAGGAGCTTGAGGGCTGTAACTTATTTTTCAATTATTTGAAAGGCGGAGTGACAGGGAGGGAGGGAGAGACGGGGTGGGAACGAGGGCTTCCTTCCAGGAGCTCACTCTCCCCAATGGCTGCAACGGCCAGGGCCGTGCCGGGCCAAAGCCAGGAGCCCGCAACTCCCTCTGGGTCTCCCACAGGGGTGGCAGGGACCCGAGCACTCGGGCCACCTCCTGCTGCTGCCCGGGCACCTTAGCAGGGAGCCGGCTGGGAAGCGGGCAGCTGGGACTCGAACTGGCGCCCCGACTCGGGGTGCAGGTGTCATAGGCAGGAGCTTAGCTCACTGCACCATGCCAGCCCCGGGCAAACCCTGGGAGTTCCAGAAACGAGCCCCCTGGGACCCAGCCCCGGCGGCTCAGGACTCCTGAAGACCCCGTGGCGGCCTCGACGCGGCTTGTCACAGGCTGCGCCACTCCAGCCCCGAGACGTCGCGGGGAGGGTGGGGGTGCACACGCTTTTCCCCTCCGACCTTCGGCACTCGACATCAGGGCCTAGAGAGCGCCACCTGCCCATCACCCAGAGTCGGGGACGCAATGAAGCGGAGAGGCCTCCAGGCAGAGCTGCTCCAGGCGCGTCTTTGACCTTGAAAGTGCTTCGTCAGGGAGCTCGCACGCACGGGGAGCCGGCGTGGAGAGGGGGACAGGCGGGCCAGCCCGGCGGGGGACACCGGCTGAGTCATAGCTCCTGCAGAGCCATCTACAGCCGGGGCGTTCACGTCACCAGGCAAACTCCTGGCTTCGGCAGAGCTTTCGCGAAGTGATGGAAGCCAGAGACACGGCGCTCCTGGAGCTGTGGGGAGGGGAGCCGCGGGCAGGAGCCAGCCACACAAACAGGAAGTGTGGTCCTGCCAGGGTCCCCCTCTCGCGCTGCCCAGGCGCCGCCGTGGGTTTCACAACCAGACAGAGCCGCGAACCTCAGTGAGGAATGCGCCCAGGAATCTGGTCCTCCCACCCCTGAAAAATAGGTCACCCAACGCCTGCCCGCCGGGGAGGCTGCGCGCTCGGTCGGCTTCCCAAAGACCAGCCACAGAGCAGCCTTCTCCGCCGTCTCAGCCGGCTCGGGGGACCCGGGGGAGACCAGGAGCCCCGAGAACGTGGGCGGCAAAGCACAGCACTTGCAGGGCAGCCGCAGAGGGAGCAGAGAGGATCCCGATCCTCGGTCCTCGATGGGACCAAACGTCGTGGCCACACAGCGCGCGGGGTCCCGGGGCTCCGCTGAGCCAGCACTGCTGGGCGCAGGACCGGCCTGCTTGGGGCACCGCGCCAGCGCCTGCCAGGGCGCTTGGGCCTCTCCCGCCCCGGCCGTTTGACCAGCAAACATCGAGCCCAGTTTTCTCCGGGGCAGGGAAGGACCGCGGCTTTTGTTTTTAAATAAGTCCGTTCGCTCCATTCCCGAAGCTCACTCTGTCTCTCCTCCCGCTGCCCCTGCGGCCCTGGACGCCTCGCTGGGGGGGCTGTGCGGGCCTCCCCCTCCGTCCACCACCAAGAGAGCACTCGGCAGCGAGCTCTGAGAGACGGGTCGGGGCCCCCGAGGGAGACCCCCGGCGGGACGGGGCACCAGTCCTGCAGCCCAGACCCGAGGCCCAAGACGACACCTCGCCAGGGACCACAGAGGGACGAGACGTCGGACGCCACTCACAGGGCTCCTGACCGTCCGGATTCCCACCCACACCCACCCAGCGCTGTAAAGTAACAAGCAGAACCCCGAAGTCCTGTGCAGGACGTGCCCCAGCGCCTGGTGCTGGACTTCACTGCCTGACCGCAAAGATCCGGAAGGCCTTGCCGTCCCCAGGCGCGCTCAGGCTGAAAGAGAAGGGAGAGTGTGTTACCGAGGGACCGGGGCCGCGGTAGGGATGGGGGCGGGGGGTCAGGAGCACAGCCAAGGCCCAGGGTCCTCCCACGGCAGGGGGCCGTTGGCTGGCGAGCCTCAGCGGGGCAGGTCAGGGTGCCGAGGCTACGTCTCACCGCGGCACCAGCCCTGGCCCGTGAGAGTCGGGCTCACCGCCCAAGGCTTCCACCAGCCCGCTCTGTGCCACCTGGCTCATCACTCAACAGGCTGAGCGTCAGGGCTCGGCACCGGCCGGCCGGGCGAGCGCTCTGCCGCTCACCTTCCTTGGTGTACAGGTGAGCAGTGAGAGGCAGCAGGCAGCGGTGACCCACTGCTGGGGGCAGGAAGCGCTTGGCACCAAGGAAGCAGGTGCTGCAGCCGGCCAAGGGCGGCGCCCCAGGGCCGCCCCCTCTCACGTGCACGACCCCTGGTTCTAAAGCCCGCGTGGGACTGGACAACCGCCTCTGCCACCCAGGCCGAGAGGATTTCGGTCACCCGCAGGGTGTCCCCCGGCCCCCTGCTCTCTGTGCTGGAAACTTCACGGAGAGCCACGCAGGAGGCGGCCCCATGTGCGGCAGTCGGGGCTGGAACGTGTGCCAGTGCCACCTCCTTTGTGCGGCTCGGGGAGGTCGTGGCACAGGGACGGCCCACGTGGGACCCGCCCACCCCTCGGGAGCCTGCCGTGGCCGCAGTCGCCGTGGCTGGGATCTCCCTTCTCCGGCGACTCACGGCGCCCGGCGCCCTTAGGCCCCCGCTGGCTTCGAGCTGGGCTCTCCGCCTTAACGCTGGGCTGCAGGGGGCTGGGCGCACACCCCAGAGATGCCTTCCTGGACACAGCCCGCAGAGGCGCTCTCCCAGGCGGGACCCATCTCTGTTTTCCTAATGCTCACTGCTACGGCATAAATGCTCCAAGTTGTGATTGAACCCAGTTTCTCTTTTTTTTTCCACTTGAATTACACTCTGGCATCGCATCTGAAAACCATTGCCTGACTCAAGGCTGTGAGTATTTAAGTTTGCTGTCCTGTGAGGTTTTTCTACTTGTTGTTGGTCAGGACAGACCAACAGGGCTTCCATCCGCTCAGTCACTCCCCCAAAGCCCGCACTGGCCCCCGGCTGGGAGCTCACCCCAGGCCCCCCACGTGGGTGGCGGGGACCCGGGACTGCAGCCACTCCCGCTGCCTCCCAGGGCCTGCGCGGACCGCGGCTGGACTCAGACAGGGCACATGCGTGTCTTCGCTGCTGGGCTGGCGTGTCCGGCTCTCACACACAGGCCTACAGTTCACGCGGAGTCCATGCTTGCAGCCGCCGTGAGGCAGAGGCCCCGGCTCCAAGTTCTGCTTGCCCACGTCTGGCTGTCCCGGCGCCACTGTGGGGACCCTACTCCGCCCGCTGACCGTGGACTCCGGCTGAAACCCCCGGCTGTCAGCGTGATGGGTGCTTTCCTGACCCACGTGTCTACGCCCAAGCCAGCACCATCGGTCCTGGCTGCGGCGGTGAGCGTGTGGAGCTGGGAAGCACACACACGCCGCCTGCCGAATGCCAGTGACGCTCTGCATTTGTGCCAGGTGCGTGGTACAAAGGGGCTCTGGGGGCCGGCGCTGTGGTGTAGCGGGTAAAGCTGCCGCCTGCAGTACCGGCATCCCACATGGGCGCTGGTTCAAGTCCCGGCTGCTCCACTTCCCATCCAGCTCTCTGCTGTGGCCTGGGAAAGCAGTAGAAGATGGCCCAAGTGCTTGGGCCCCTGCACACACATGGGAGACCTGGAGGAGGCTCCTGGCTTCAGATCAGCCCAGCTCCAGCCATTGCAGCCATCTGGGGAGTGAACCAGTAGATGGAAGACCTCCACCCTCTCTCTCTCTGCCTCCCCTCCTCTAACTATCAAAACTTCCCGTCTGAGCACAGGCAGCCCGGGGAAAGCTGAGCAGTGGCAGTGCTGGCCCAATGGACAGACGGCGGCTGCCAGACCGCACATCGCAGAGCCGACGCCCAGGGAGCACTCCCGGGGACTCGGGGTCCAGGCTCCATGCTGGCCCCGGGGAAGGGCATCCAGAGACTCAGGCTGACCGTTTCTGGGCAGTGTGTTGGCTGCACAGCGCGGCGGACGAGCACAGCTCCGGCGGGACTTGTTACCACGACCCCCTCAGGGCTGGGGTCTGAGACCCCGAATTGGAGGCTCCCGCACTAGGCAGCAGCCCGGGCACACGCACAAGCCTCGGCCGTGTGGAATCCCTGGTTGTTTGTCGGCCTCCCCCACGGCAGCTTTGTGCACTTGGCTACCCCGGGGTTGAACTTTCGAAGCGTGTATCAGATGGGAGCACTCCCAGAGAGCGGCTGTGAAGAGAAGCCAAGAGCCAGCAGGCGGCCGGACGCAGGCCAGCGGCTCCTGGCGGGCCAGGAGGCGGCGGACAGCGGCTGCCTGGGGCTGAGACGACCTGGCTGGCCTACTGCTCACTGGACAGCTCACACCCCAGGGCCCTGCCCCGTCCTCAGGGCGGCAGGAGCCCCAGGCTTCTGCAGCCCCCAGCTCTCTGCACAGTGGCCAGGCCCCGTGTCTGCAAGGTCTCGGGGCTTCACAGCCCACTGGACTCACCCTGGGCTGGAGACCCTGCAGGTGGGCAGTGGGTCCTCACACTCACAGCCCCCCGCAGCCAGGGGACAAGGGAGCCACTGGGGCTGTCGGCCAGACCAGACGTGTCTAGTATCTGTGTGTCTGTGTGTGTGCATCTGTGTGTGCACGTGTGTGCCTATACCTGTGTATCTGTGTACACCTGTGTCTGTGTACACGTGTGTATTATCTGTCTCTGTGTGTTTCTGTGTGCACGTGTATCTGTGTGTATCTGCGTGTGTGCATGTGTGCATGTGCCTGTGTATCTGCGTGTGTGCACGTGTGTCTGTATGTATCTGCGTGTGTGCACATGTGTCTGTGTGTATCTGCGTGTGTGCACGTGTATCTGTGTGTATCTGCGTGTGTGCATGTGTGTCTGTGTGTATCTGCGTGTGTGCACGTGTCTGTGTGTATCTGTGTGTGTCCATGTGTGTCTGTGTGTATCTGCATGTGTCTGTGTGACTGTATCTATGTGCGTGTATGTGTGTGTGCATGAGGCTGTTTTGTTTAAAGGATTCAACCCCGCCCCAGCATCTCCCACTCTACCAGTCTTCCAGGAAACTCAAGGCCCGGTGGACACAGGTCAGTCTCAGCAGCAGGAGCCCGGCTGGGAAGTCCATGCCTCTGGGCCCAGTCCACGCATCTGCCTGCTGTGTTCCTACAGGAGCCCTCCCCGGGACACCGCGGAGAGGCGGCGAGCCCGCCCGGGGCCGGGGGCAGCGACTGGCAGGGGCTCCTCAGCTGAGGCAGCCGCGGGTCCCGCCTGGGTCCCAGGGTGGCCCACGCGGGCTGCACGAGGGTCGTCCTGCCTGGGTCCCAGGGTGGCCCACGCGGGCTGCACGAGGGTCGTCCTGCCTGGGTCCCAGGGTGGCCCACGCGGGCGGCACGAGGGTCGTCCTGCCTGGGTCCCAGGGTGGCCCACGCGGGCTGCGCGGGCGGCACGAGGGTCGTCCTGCCCGGAGCCCAGCCCGGGGCTGCTGGGCCTCCTCAGCTGACTGTGAAGCCCACGGCACCTCTGACGGTAGCGCAGTTTCAGAGGACGGTGCCACACGCCTGCGCCGACGCCTGTGCGTGCTGCGAGCCCCTGGGGGCGGCGAGCGGCTGCAAGAGCAGGCACTGTGTGGGGCTCTGGTTCTCCACTCTGGAAACGTCTAAAGCCAGGAACCGGCGCTAAGCCTGCAGGCCCGCCCCGGCCCCTCCTCGGGAGGTCTGCGCCCCACGGCAGTGGCTTGTCCGGGTAGAAGGAGTCGGGGTGCTGCTTCCAGGAGCCGATCTCGGGGCAGGTGGCCTGGGTTCATGTCCCAGCTGTTCCCCCGTCACCTGGGTGACCGCACAAGGGACCCAACCTCTGTGTGCGGCCCCCTCCTAATGGACAAAGTGGGGCCACTGGGCTGGGGGCGGGGCTAGCTGGGCGAGCGTGCAGAGAGGCTGAGAAACGCTGGTTATGGGCAGGACCCCGGAGCCCAGGAGCAGCCTGGCGTGGCAGCCGGTGCGGAGCCCACGAGCTCTGAGGATCACTGCCCCACACTTGCCGCCTCCCAGGATCTCTGCACACGCACGGAGACGTCCAGTCACCCACGCCTTCAGACTCCCGGAGTGGCCCCTGCCACGGGCAGCCACCAAGCACCCGGGAGGGGCTTGTCCGAGGAAAACAGACCAAGTCAGAGTTCGTCCCGAACAAACTAGGAAAGAGCGTGGAAGTCTCACTAACCGCTTCTCTGTTTCAAATGATGACATCATGGATGTGTCGGGTTAAAGAACACGAATTCTAAGTCTCTCTGCTGTCTCTCTCCACCTCGGCCACCAGGAACTGGCGAAGCCTGCGTGTGGCACACAGGATACACCTGCTGGCTTCCCAGCCACGGCCACAGCCCCGCGGTGGTGCCTCTCGACGGAGCCGCCCGTAAGCGACGCGTGAGCTCACCCTGGGACAGCCGTGCGCCCCCACACAGCTCTGCACACGGCCACGTGTGGACACCAGGAGGTCCAGGAGCTGTCACCGCGGCTTCCAGCTGCCTGGAAGCCTCTCTAAAACCAGTCCCGGCACCGGTGTTGCGGTGCAGCAGGTAACGCCGCCGCCTGTGACACCAGCGTCCCATGCGGGCTCCGGTTCATGTCCCGGCTGCTCCACTTCCGATCCAGCTCCCGCCAACGCACCAGGGACAGCAGCAGGGGATGGCGCAAGTGCCTGGGCCCTGCACCACGTGGGAGGCCCACATGGAGCTCCTGGCTCTGGGGTTTGCCTGACCCCGCCCTGGCCGCGCAGCCACCTGACGAGTGAACCAGCAGATGAAAGATCTCTCCCTCTAACTCTGCCCTTCAAATGGATAAATCTTAGCGCACACACACAAAACAAACACAAAACCCCGTCCCCGCGTCGGACAACACCCGAGCTGGCACTCATCCACTTCCCAGCTCACCCGAGAGCGCGCAGACACCTTCAGCTTCCTCTGCTGTCCATCAGGTGCGGGTGGGGGAGTGCACCAGCGCGCCCCCCCCCCCAGGGCTGTCGGGAGGCTGCGTGGTGCGTGTCTGACCGAGGGGCTGGAGCCGTCCGCGGGCAGTCAGCTCTCACATCTCCCACGGGGCCGTCGCTGACACTGCAGGGTCCCGGCCTCCGCGGGGGACAGGGCCGGCCTCTGCGTGCAACGCCTGGTTCCCAGCGGGGGAAACTTCCCAGCGCCCTGCTTTGCAAAGTGAGCGCGGAGGTCCCGTGGAACAGGGGAGCAGGGGCTGTGACCACGCCGGCCCCGTCGCTCCCAGCTCCCGCACTGCCCTCCTTGACGCCGCCCCCCGCCCCATCCTGGTGCCGCGTCATCCACCCCCGCTCAGGGACGCTGTGGAGAGGCAACAAGCCCCCCGGGGAGGAGGGCCAGCAACTGGCAGGTGCTCCTTAGCCGGGGCCTTGCACGCCCAGCCCTGCTGGTCCCAGCTCACAGCCCCAACACGGCCAGGAGGGCCTGGCACGCCCGGGAAGCAGCAGCGACGCTCGGGTCACCTCCCCGGAGCCCAGCCCCAGGGACCCCAACTCTCCTCACTTCATTTTGTGAAATACGCAGGATTTTCTAGGGGACAAAGCCTCAGAACTTGCTAGAGGGCGAGTCCCACCAGGCAGAGACCCCGGGGAACTGATCACCGCTGGGTCCTGGCACCTAGCCCATCACGAGTGCACGTGGAAGGAACCACGTGGCTGGAGGGCTGGGACAGAGCTCAGGAGCCACGCCACGGCCACAAAGGCCACCCACTGCCCCTACTCCTGCCCTGTCACACATGGATCCATCGGAGCCTCGCACGGGCCCCTGTGTCAGAGGAGGGGCCCAGGCCCGTCCCCGGCGACCCAGCCAGCAACAGGGAAGCAGGGTCCTGATGCCGCCCAGCCCTGCCTGCGTGTGGGGCTCGAGGGCTCACGGCCCCCTGGGTGGTCTCAGAAGGCCCGCAATGCATGCACAGCGCTCAGGCCCTGCCAGCTGCATCAGTCACCCGGGGTGTGGGCCCCGTGCCCACCACTCAGCACCTGCACCCTGGGCTCACAACAGCGGCCGTCACTCCTGAGTTGCTGAGCCACTCCCAGCGCTTCCAACCCTGCAGGTCGGGCGTGGTGCCTGGGAAAGGGCTACCCCAGTGAGCTGACCAGGCCATGGGGCCTGTGGCCCTACTGCCCCCCAGGTAATGGTTGCTATGAGCGCCCCCTACAGACGACCGAGGGGCAGCACCACCATGGGGTGTTTTGAGATCACTGCGACCTCTCGGCACAGGGCAGGGCCAGGCCACCTGCACCTGGGAGACGCGTCCTGCGAGGGGGCCCTCGTGCAGCCTGCGGGGGTCTGGACCCAAGGAGGACGTGAGGGACACAGTCCACAGAGGGACGACACACGAGAGGGGAGGGGTCTTGGGAGCGGCCGCCTGCCCACCCCCGGGAGGACACTGGTTCTGCTGTCTGAGCCGCCGGCTGTGGCAGCTGTCGGGGTCGCCGAGCAGACCCGGATGTGCCCCCGACGGACAGACGGGCCGTGCCTCAGGAAGGGCCAGCGCCTGCTCAGAGCCTGTGACACTCCTGAGAGGCAACGCAGCACTGCAACGCGGGCCCCTGGACTCCGGGGCCTGTGACGCCCGTGAGCGTGAGCGTGCAGACCAGAAAGCAGGCTAGGCCCCGACTAGGCTGGGCCCTCTCTGAGGAACATTCTAGAAAGGCATACCCAGGCCGGCGCCGCGGCTCAATAGGCCAATCCTCCGCCTGCGGGGCCGGAAGGTCTGCCCCCACCCCCAGTGGGAGAAGCCTGCGCACCCCTGTGCTGCGCCCCTGTGCTGCGTCCCACGCGGCAAGCAGGGGCGACCTCCACGCACTCTGCAGTGACGCCACTCAGTGCTGGCCGCCGGCCCACAGCAGCCCGAGGGCAGGCGCGACAACTGTCCCCATTCCCCAGACGAGCACGCGACGCTCAGAGCCCAGCTCCAGCCCCTGAAGCTGCTCGGACTCCCCCGTCTGCCTAGCGTCACGGCAACAGAGCCACGATCTTGTGGGAGGCACCCGCCTCGGGCGCCCGCACCCCGACACCTGACAGCGACGCCCCGGGCAGCGGCCACAGGCGACTTTCTCTTCGGATGCTCTGACAGACGCTAAGCTTCCTACACCAACAGGCGTCCACATCAGGAAAACCAAACTCTGACTGTGAAAACGGAAGGAAGAGAGAAGAACCCAGCCCTGCGCCCGGCGCCTGGGCCAGCCGAGGGATCTGCAAGCCCACGGGCTGACCCCCGGCAGGCCCCCGCGTGAGCAGCCCGGGAAGCCGCCCTACCTCTCCGACTGCACCCCGTTCCTGAGCGAGCCCGCGTAGCTCTTCTTCTTGTCGACCGGCATCACGTCCACGTAACCCCCGAGCTCATCGACGACGGCCCCCGCGTGCACGGCCGCCCTGCAGATGCCCGAACTCTGCAAACAGAGGGGCCGCGGTCAGTGTGGGCGCCCGGGCCCCGAGTGCGCCGCGGCCGCCGGGGAGGGCCCTCCTGTCACCCTGCGTGGCGGGGAGCCGAGGACACGGCCGCCCGCAGCATGGCCTTGTGAGAGCCCAGCGGAAAGAAGGGGCCGTCAGAGGAGGAGGTACTTTTCTCTGGAGGGCGGAGAGAATTCCACTTTGCTCCTGGCCCTGTTGTAAATGCTGCTGGAGTTTGTGGTCACAAAAGGCTTGCATAGCCTCGGGTGGCCACTGCCGTCATACGTGAGAGTGTCAATTGCTAAATCAACAACAGGAGTCACTGTGCACGGACGCCCCACGCAGCACCTCTGTCCTCAGGGAGCTGCACTAGGAGAATTAACTGTGAAACTTCTCAGTTCTGTGTGAGTGAATGTGGGCAAACTGTTCACATCTCTACTTAGCAGAGCGTTGGTCTTCTGCGTACAAAGTCAACTGAAAATGAATCTTAACAGAGAATGGGACTGGGGAGGGCAGAGGGAGGAGGAGGA